GATGCTAAGTGAACTAAGTCAGATGGAGAAGAACAAATACCATATGATTTCACTCATATGTGGAATGTGATTTCATGCATTTGTTTTTTATAAAAACAAACAGAATTTTTTAAATGAAGAAACCAAAACTAACAAAAACAGTCACGTTAGATACAGAGAGCAGAGCAGTGGTTACCAGAGGGGAAGGGGTGGGGGAGGGTGAAAGGGATAAAGGGTGTGGTGATGGGGAGAAACCGAACTTTTGGTGGTAAGCACACTGTAGTGTAGACAGAAGTAGAACTATAGTGTTGTACACATGAAACTCACATTATATTATAAACCAGTGTTACCTCGATAAAAAATAAATTTAAAAAAGTAGGCGTATCTTGGAGGTACAGGCTATCTGAGCACCATAGTGTCCTGCTCTAGGTCTTAAGCATCTACATCCCAGACTTCCCCCTTAGGTGTGAAGGGTGTCTGCTCGAATTCCAGTGGCTTCCGGGCATACTTTTAAAATGAGTTTGCTGTTTGTAATTCAGTTAAAATGGGATTTGGTACTCTACCTTGAACAGCCTGCTAAATCAAGGGGAAAAGACTCTTAACCTACCAACCAGATGATTTCTGGCTAAATGGGCCCTTCAGAATGCTTTTGGAAAACTGAAGGTGTAGGAAGGCAGAACGAAAGGATTTTTAAGGACAGACTTTTTCCTCCCCTCCACCTTCTAGTTTCTTGACGTGTAATAGATGCCAACATATCTTTGTTCGGTCAACGTTCCTTGTCCTGGAAAGAACAGGACACGGAGGTTGCAGAGCTCTGTTCTGCTCCCAACGATGCTTCTGTTTGCAGAGCGCACAGCTGACTTTGGCTGATGTTTGCGGATACCTGCAGGATCTGATGTCGATTTCAGAGTCACAGACAAGCCCTTCTTTGGCGTGAGGTTTTTGTTCCTCTGCCAGTTCAGATGAGGTTCCCCTTTTGTTCTGTGCAACCACAGGCTGCCTCTGCTTTCTCTAGGTTAATCACAGACAGGGGCTCAACTGTTTGCTATGTATCAGCTGACAGTTAAACAAAAACCCAGACCTAAATCTCAAATAACTAGAGGAAGAAGGGTGCCTCCTTATCAGCCAGTGTCTTACCAAGTGCCTGTCGGGTCTTAGAATGGACTCAGACCAAGCACTTAATTGACTGGCACCACTTGGGGTACAGTTTACAACACATGGTGTTAGGAAGCCTGTAATTGTTGGTGAACAATTATGCACCCCCAGTTTAAAAAAAAAAAACTATCGTGGTGATCGCTGTCCGAGTTGCTGGTTAAACCTTTAAGAGTGGTCCCATGGGCAGCAGATCTTACAAATGCACGCGTAAATTGTGTGTTAGTAGGAAGCCACCTTTTATGATAGAAATGGCCCCATTAAAGGAAAATCTCTGTGTCTCAGAATTACTTGTTGGTGAAGTGTCTCAAAAGGTTCCCTCTGGCCCTGCGATTGCCTGCCATTCTTGTGCCCTGGTAACTAACGATAGCCTTTCGCCTTAAACCTTTCATGCTAGCTCATCATTTCCCCAGGTCAGGTGTCCATACACCAAGGTCGGACGTTCTGTGTTGTAACAAGTTTCCTTTCCGTGCTGGCAAATTTGCTGTATTTGATAACTTCTTACGGAAGGGAGGGCCAGTGAAAACTCCACTAGCAGCAGGTGATTCTCATTTTCAAACAGTCACAGGTCAGGATTCTGTTTTGTTTTAAGGGGAGAAGGTAGTTTATTTAATGGAGGTCCTGGGGATTGAACCCAGGACCTCGTGCAGGCCAAGCACGCGCTCTACCACAGAGCTGTACCCTCCTCCCCAGGTCAGGATTCTGAATGAGATTTTAGCATACCCTAATTTGAGGAATTTTGTGAAAACATAGCCTCGTATTTGCGAAGTGTCTACTATAATGTGGAGCACACACACTCAGTTGCAGTTTTTTTTTATCATTTGCCATTTTTTCATTCTTTGGTTTGCCGTATGAATTTAAGGTTTAATCACACTGTTATTAATCTTAACAAAGACACGCCACTCTTTCTTTTCATTCTAGCAAGGTCC